CAACTGAAGAAATTTCTTCATGGAGAGGATAACCGAAGAGTCGCCACGCAGCCTCTGTCGATCCAATATACCTTGCATCAAGGTATTGCTTTATCTCATTGTTTTCATTTGGTCCCTCTAAAATCATAGTTGTGCGGTCATGACCTTTGTAAATGTACTTGTAGATATATTTGACACACCTCATTTCTCCATAGACCTCCACGTTTATATGATAGTTGAACTTTCTTGACAGGTGTGGATTGTAAGGTACGACGTCCTGATTATCAAATGTATGCCTTCTAATGGTGTAAGACTAACCATTAAAGTGACGACGGTAAACAGGGTACCAATGTTCATCCATAGTGGTCGAATTTGCAAAGGCTTTTGGATAATGGAATCAACATGCACCATTCACCATGCAAGTTGAATGTGGGTTTCGAGAACCACACAGACCATGAACCATACAACTTTTGATTGTTTCGTAGAGAGTTGGATTAATGGATGGATATGGGAATTCAGCACTAACTAACTGATCCACTTGTGCATTTGTTTGAATCTTGTCTGGACCATGAAGGAAGAATAAAGCATGCATGTGTGGTAACCCTCATTTTTTGGAACTCAATGGTGAATACATGAGTAACTTTTTGACCAACAATTTGTTCACTTTGTATCTTATGAATCAGGGCACGTCGTTTTAACTCAAATACATAGGTAACTATATCTGAACGATCCAAAGAGGTTTAGTGTTCTAGTAAGGCAGCTGTGATTTTAGGTCATTTGGGGTTGGCCGTCATGGTAAGAAAGATGTCAGGGTGTTGGTGGTATCTTGTAATAGCCATTGACTCATGAAAAATCTGGCTTATGTTGCATGCACTCCTACTAAATGACAATGGTAGAACAAAGCGTTGTCCGATCTGATCGGGCCCAACTCATCAACACTGCCATCACACAAATTCGCGTAAAACTCCCAACGCAGCTTATCCTGACTAAGTCTGATGTAAGATAACCTATTTTGCTCCATTGATGCCCAAGCAACCACTATAAACTCTTGAAATAACTTTCCTCCTCTAAGAATTGTTGAATACTAAGTGAGACGAGAAATTATACGATAACTGTAAAATTACATTTGTATAATCCTTCTTACTGAAAAATCACTTTGTTTGGAGTTCCACTGATGTAGACCAGGTTCCCAACCAAGCTCACCAGTAGGGAATAAAAGTACATAGTGAATATGTTGGATGACACTCATTGATCTGGCTCAGCGTTCGGTGCAGAACAATATCCCGCATACAACTACTCTCAGTACCATCACTAAGCAAAATCACAGCTATTTCATCCGTGGTTGGAAGGTTGTTCCGATGCCTATCAGTTTATGAGGTGTAATGAAGGTGAGCACGTAAATCATGATTTGAAGATTTTGATTCAGTGAGAATTTCGTGTGCACGTTTGTACTTTGAAGTAAAATAATTCACTGACAACAAACAACTCTGTATAGTATGAAGGACATCATGACACATGTTAGTATTTCGCGCACACTGAATATTCAATGCAGTGATTGGGTCGTATATGTACAACTGACAATAGATGGGTGTGTGACCTTTCGAGGGTAACAATAACCCAGTCCGATGACGTAATTCTCCATGGATAATGAATGACCTTGACCCTCTTGAATTAAGTAATTTGTCATCAAGCTTAGCATCCAAACTCGTGAAAGCATTGGTTGCATTGTACTCTCTAATATGCAGACGAAATGATTTTAATTGACCATCATGGCCATCATACAATGCACAAATAAGATGTGGGGGAGCAATGAATTCTGGCAACCTAATTTTGTCTTGTAGACAACATGTTCCAAATCTTGGATTGGATAATCCTATGCGAGTAAATCTCTCATCCCGCTAATGTAAGGCCAAACAATACGGACACTGAATATTCATAAGGATGTGGTGCAACATTGGCGACAACTTCATAATGACCATAGTCTGTCTCTAAATTTTGAGGCAAGGGTAAAGGTCGCACGGGGATGGGTGAGACTGGATCAAGGTCAGTTGGAATAAAAATTGGATTGGACGCAATTGTAGGTGTTAGATAATGTTCCGAATGATGTGTCCGCATTTTTTTTTTTTGTGGAAGGTGTGCTATGGTGGCTTGGTGCAATGGAGTTAGGTTTTGCGAAACATGACATAAGGGATGGTGGGAATCATAACATAAAGGTTGGGGGGAAGTGTAAAGAACCGATCCCTTCCTATGCAACTATCCAACAAGGACATGACAATACGTTAAAACCATATATGTCTTAAAAGCAATAGAAATACTTATTAAATCATAAGACATGAATCAAAAAATTTAACAAAGAGGAAGACATATTTTCTTTTCCATTTTGTGGGCACTTAGTGGGTGTGCGACATACTTCTGACCTTGAAGGTGCAATTTGCTTGCAAAGGGTTAGTGTTTTCCGCCTAAATACACATTCATTCTGGCATTGAAGATAGTTAGTTTTTGTAATCTAATCCGGAAACAAACGGTGGAAAAAGTAACTTTACCTCAACATTGCATTACCGATTAGGCAAATGTTCAACAAGTATTGTAATGGGAGACGGTTGGAAATGCGATGGGATTGTATTATACTCTGCCAATTCCATGTCAACAAATGGAACATGGTTGGGCAATTGGGAGAGAAACTGGTGTCGTCTATCCGAATTAGTTGTTTTGAGTATGCAAGTTGGTGTCAATCCTGGAAAGTATCTAGGTAGAGGCAGAGTGTAATTCCCAGAACGCTCTTTTTCCCGACGTACACGCTGTGCCAGCTCGCGCTGTGAGCACATGTCACTATCATTGTGACTTCGCTCATGTCTGGTGCGTTGGGCCTCAATTTTAGAGGAAGTGTAATTTGTTACGGGAGCCTAAGATAGGAAGTGACGTGTGAAATAAGTTAAACAATTAGTCAAATTGACCCAAAACAGTGCATACAACAATTACTAAAACACTACAACACAATGATTATACTTGGTGGTGGTATGGAGTCATGTGTGCATGTCTCATCCCGCCAATGTAAGGCCAAACAATAAGGACACTGAATATTCATAAGGATGTGGTGCAACATTGGTGACAACTTCATAATGACCATAGTCTGTCTCTAAATTTTGAGGCAAGGGTAAAGGTCGCACAGGGATGGGTGAGACTGGATCAAGGTCAGTTGGAATAAAAATTGGATTGGACGCAATTGTAGGTGTTAGATAATGTTCCGAATGATGTGTCCGCGTTTTTTTTTTTTTTTGTGGAATGTGTGCTATGGTGGCTTGGTGCAATGGAGTTAGGTTTTGCGAAACATGACATAAGGGATGGTGGGAATCATAACATAAAGGTTGGGGGGAAGTGTAAAGAACCGATCCCTTCCTATGTAACTATCCAACAAGGACATGACAATACGTTAAAACCATATATGTCTTAAAAGCAATAGAAATACTTATTAAATCATAAGACATGAATCAAAAAAACTTAACAAAGAGGAAGACATATTTTCTTTTCCATTTTGTGGGCACTTAGTGGGTGTGCGACATACTTCTGATCTTGAAGGTGTAGTTTGCTTGCAAAGGGTTAGTGTTTTCCGCCTAAATACGCATTCATTTTGGCATTGAAGATAGTTAGTTTTTGTAATCTAATCCGGAAACAAACGATGGAAAAAGTAACTTTACCTCAACATTGCATAACTGATTAGGCAAATGTTCAACAAGTATTGTAATGGGAGACGGTTGGAAATGC